GGAAGGGAGCAGTTCCTTATTCAATATCCGGTAACTCGGCCAGCAGGATGTCAGATTGTATATATTTTCCAAGAAATCGCAAGTAAATTCCATTAATAGTTCACAGTGAGAAACTGTAAACAGTTGGTAATTTAAAACAAATCACTGTTTTGAAGTGGTGACCCATATGTAAAAACTTGTGATTCTGCATGACATTGGAGCAAGTTGGGTCTGTTTTGGTCATTTGTTTCTTTGGGTGTTATCTTTACCTTCCAATTATCTCTCAAACTTATCCACTTTCCTTCACTATGACTGCTACCACTTCCTACCACTAAAATATGGTAATAGACTTAAAAAAAACTAATTGTAGAAAATTCCAAATATACACAAAGCCAAGAAAATAATATAACACAGGTAGGTACCTATTAGTCAGTATCAACAGTTATTCATTCATGGGCAGGCTTGTTTCATCTACACCCCACACCCAACAAATTATTTTGAGGCCAACTGCAGATATTGTTAATTGTCATCCTTCACTTAACCACAAAAGTCAACAGCCACACTGTTCACACCAGCCTAACTGGCCGGCCAGCGTCAACTCTGGCCCTTCACCAGTCTGTTCTGCACACTGCCAGCCAGGGTTCCTTGCATGGCACAAACATGACCTTATTGTTTCCACGCTTAACACTTCAGTGTCTTCCTGCTGTACTTGGCTCAAGTCAAAACCCTGAAACGCCAAGGCCAGTGGGGTCCGGCGCCTCCCAGCATCCGCCTCATGGGTCCCGTCCCAGCCACACTGCTCTTCTCCCTCGCTGCTGCCCCCTCGCACGCGTGCCGCCTGCTGCTGGGATGCTCTTCCTTCCTGCCTCACTCAGTGGCGCCTCCTTCAGATCCCAGTGCTCAGAAAAGGCGCCTGACCACCCAGACCACCTGGCTCTCAGACTCCTTTTAACCCTGCTTCTTCTGCAACTTTAGATCCGTCAGTGAGAAGATCTGCTGACTGCCTCTCTCCACGGACTCATCGCATCTGTTCTAACCCACGCCGTATCCCCATCCACTAGCAGGAGTATGTGTATACCACATACTGTGACAGGTGCTGGTCATTCCCTGCCTATAGTCCATCTACGTGACTGTGGGTGGGGGGCACACACATCTCGAGTTATATGTACACACTAATGCTTTACTCTTCAAGTTACTGGTTTTTCCCATCCATATTCACGTGTCCTCAAAACATTCCTATTAACCCCCAAAGTCTTGCAACATTGTTTAAATTTCTCATAGAAAAGATGAGCACTGACCTCAAATAAGAATGTGATATGTCCTCTTAAATAGAAAAGTAGGGGGTAGGGGGAAGGTGAAATGAGAAAGGGGATCAAACATATGGTAGCTGAAGGAAACTGGACTTTGGGTGGTAACCACACAATAGAATATATAGATGTGAAATTATAATGTACACCTGAAAATTATATAATTGTATTAACCAATGTTACCCCAA